CGTCACTCTTGTGACTTGTGCTTCAGGCGGTCTATCTCTCGAGTCGAGATACAAAAGTGTAGTATGCTATGGACAATATAATTGACAGTATTTGAATTCATTTGAATCTGAACGAAAATCAATTTGGCACTTTCTGTCATATTGAATTTGTTTAATGTGTAGTTGCATTTTAATGTTTCGATTGAGTAAATTTTGAATATAATAAAGTGTGTGAGATCACTTGATTTCAAAAAGGAAATTGTTGTTTGTTGTTGTTTTATAGTAGTGATGGAGACACTGATTGGGTACTTGGGTAGCACAGATCTTATATGTATATCTCTACCAAGGAAGCAAGCTAAAGCAAATTTATTTTACCTCTCACGGGAGGTAATTTTTTTCTCCCGTGGGGGTAAATTGGCAGGTCTGTGTCGTTAAATGAGGGAGCAAACTGTTATTTTCGATGCAGTGAGTAAATAAAATATATTGCACTCTTTTTCAAACAATATTAATATAGGCGATTGGCAGTTCATTTGAGCGAAGCGAGAGCTTGAATGGTCCAAATTGGTGTCCAAGAATTGAATAAACTTGAATTTTCCATGCCAACAAATCATGAATAAATTAAAAAGTATACTTATCATTCTGCAACAGTCTGCATTTCATTCCATTTTCAAATCCAGGTTTATAAAAAAATCTGATGAACATTTACCGACATAATTTGCTGTTCCAAGACTCTTTAACAACCTTGTATAATAGTATTCAAGAACAAAATCTAGTTTTCAGCCAATTTTTTTTTCTTTCAGCAGAAAGCGTATGAAAAGAACTACGTTTACAAATATTTTGCAAATTTGTGTAAACGTAGACCAATTGATACTCATTTTGCTGAAACAAAAAAAAATAATTGAAACCAATAATTTTTATGAGGGTGCTCTGGTCTTGAGTTAGCCACACTGAATAAGAATTTTTATACATTATATTGGCAATATTGTAAAATGGTAGAGGAATTACGTCCGTTTTTGATACTATACTATTTGGATATTAGGCATCAGTCTATCTTAACTTTAGTGATAACTTGATGATTCTTGTATTGTCGCTGAAATAAATGAATCAACCAGAAAACAAACTCATCTAAAAATAGGTATATACATTTTCTGAACTTTCTATGCAACCATATAAGCTACAACAATTTTTAAAATGTATTGTGACCCAATTATATTTTCTGGTTAATTATTGTCCACACCTATCAGCCTCAACTCCAAGAAATGAATAATCTTGGTTTGATGTAATAACCTAACCTGAAAATATATATACAGGGTGTCTCATAATTACCGTGCAATACTTCACCAGCAGATTTTCGGATCAAAATTAAGAAAAATGTTCACATTAACATAGGTCGAATAATGTTTCATAATCGAGATACAGCCCCTTGAAGGTGGTACCCTGAAGATGGTTTTTATTTAATATATCCTGTTGGTAGCAGAATTAATTAATTTTGTAAATCGACCACAATAATATGCCATAATGATAATTTCAAAAGTTCATCCAGAAATGGGTCAAACTGTGGGGGGTAGGTGGTAAAATCACCCCCAACTTTTTCGGGTGCTCAGAATTCTGAATCTTGAACAACCCTGTATCTGTTCCGATTGAATTTCAGTAAATAGTGTATCAAAAGTTTAGCCGTTTCGACCGATAATAAATAGTTTCAACACAAAAAAATCCTAAAGTTGGAAAATCTCGATTTTGAACACCCTATATCTCTGTAATCATTTTCGATAGACCCCAAGTGTGTTGCATCGAAGAAATCAACTCTTCAGTGAGAATCTAAGAATGCAATAAAATACAGAGTGTTCTATTTGAAATATCAATGTTCCTACTACTTTCTAGTAGAAGCGGCAACACTGAATTGTCGAAAATATTTTAAATTAACAGAGCGTATTCTAAAATATAAGCATGCACGTTTTCATGAATTTTTCCCGACAGATTCTCGATATAGAGATAGTGTAAGCTCGTCGTGACATACCCTGTATAGGAAGGAACTTTTTCAATTCAAGTATTGAATGCTAATTATGGGACACCCTGTATATGCAACATAAGCTCAATAACCTAACATTAAAAATAGATGGAGTTCAGGTAAATACAACGTTGGTAGATTTAATGATTATTATTATTGTGCTTAAAGTGGTAATTCATAATGCCATTTCATTGTGAAAATTCCACTTGGGAGTTATGGAAGCCCACATTCTTTCATTTTCTTCAAGTAAATTCATCAGTTTCGTAGTTATCTAGAATAATGAATTTATTTTTATAAATTTGTTGGTCGTCACGTTAGCTAATAAGGGATTCCCAAGTCATTTTTGATGGTTTTTAAACCGCAAGGGCCGAACGTGGCTTGCAGAAATACATCTAGGCAAACCTAAAGATACAATTGATACAATTTATGAGAAAAATTGTAATGAATGTAACATGTACCATATTGGACAAACACATAAAATCTTTGGCCCAAGATTTAAAGAACATATTTCTCACTGGTAATTATTTCCCAGAGAATACCTTGAAAGATATGACAGTCAGCTAATCAGGGGCGGATGGGCCGGCTGGGCACTCGGGAAATTTCCCGAAGGGCCGGTTGCTTTCGGGCCGGTTCGGTCCAAGTCAAAAAAGAATCATCTTCGATTCCTGTTGGCTGTCACCTGTGGCCGGACACGAGACCTGCCCCGCGATTTGGCTTCCAGCAATACGCTCCGGCCCGTCCACAATTCGAAAACAGCATGGGAAAACCAAAACCAACCGCTCATATATTTTTAAAAATATTCAGTATTACCGGTCCTGTTTCAAGGTATTTGCAAACTAAAGGTTTAGATCTGCTCAAGTGTAACGGTATGATTGAAACAGCTATAAATGATCTACGTTCATTCCAAAGAGACTTAAATAGTATTAGTGAAGCTACGGAAAAATTTATAACATGGGCTAAAGCAGAACTTATTTCAAAAGGAATAGGTGCAACAATTGAGGAGAACTTTCAAGAAGTTCGTCGTAGAAGGGTTAAAACTTTTTTTGATGAGGCAACTATCGATGAACAACCAAATACGGAAGTAGACAAGTTCAGAGTGAATACCTTCAATATCTTGATGGACACTGCATTGAACTCGATGGAGACAAGGTTTTCAAAAAATATGGATTTATGTAGGGATTTAGCTACTTTAGACCCAAAAAACTTCGAACAAATTGCATGCAATGACTCTCTTGAATCGCTTTCAGCTTGTATGGAAAGACTTTCTGCGAAAATCATCAAATATAATTCGTCTGCTACTCCTGAAAATTTAAGAGAAGAACTTCTCAACTTTGCAAAAAACTGGAACAGATTGAAATTGACCATCGAAGATACTTATATAATATCAGAGAGGTCAGATATTGAGGACATAGAGATTGACGTTGAAGAAGAATCTGATAGTGTCCCCAATTCCAAAGAATCGGCTGCTTGTAAAAATTGTGCTATATGCTGCTATTCTGTTATTACAAAATATAATATGTTTCAGGGGGCCTATTCTTCGCTATTTACTGCATATCACTACCTTTTAACGCTTCCCATATCTCAAGTACAATGTGAAAGGTCATTCTCTATTCTTAAATTTATAAAAACTCGCTTAAGAAATTCCTTATCTGATAATAGACTTGAGTCATCCATGTTGATGAATATTGAACGTACTGTGTTGAACCAGGTTGACAATGAAGAAGTTATCAATGCTTTAGCTGGACAGAGCGCATTAATGAAAAGATTACTTTTTCGTTAAATCCTTATTAATTTGCACTATTTTTTATAAAATATAATTTGGATTGGATTCATTAGGTTTTAGATTTTCCGTTGTTTTCTTATTTTGCAATGTATGCCAAATGTTTAGTTCCTTTCCTTCTATTCAAGTTCCTCGATGTTATCATTTGTCTTTTGTTACTTGGTGCTTGTTTCGTATAACTGTGTAGAGTTTATTTCTTTAGTTTTATACACAATGTTTCCTACTGTTTCATATTAAATGCTTGAAGCGAAGCACATTTTTTCTTTTTTTTTTCTCTCATAAAGACCCATAAGTTCATCTAACAAAAAAATAGATTATTATATAAAAACATTTTTTTTATTAAGATAAGGTATCTATAGGCCAGGCCGCCAGTGCTTGTTTTCCCGGGCCGGTTTACCATGTCCCATCCGCCCCTGCAGCTAATCTTCAATTCTTTTTCAGATCTATTGTGGATGGCAACTTAAATGACGAAATACGAAAATGATGTGTGTATTTTTTTGTAAATTTTGTATTTGATTATTGTCTTCAAAACTTCACTTCATGTAACATGAAATGCTGGATGGAATTACGTCACCAATTACCACTTCTCCTCAGTGCGTTTTTTGACTTCCTGGACACATTGGTGTATTATTTTTCACTACCTATTTTCTTCTCAATATCAGCTGTACCTTCACATGATCTGATAGCATCTACTCACCTTCTACTTGCCATTCAAATAAACATTTAAAAAAACTTTCAAATATTTTTGATAGCACCAAACAAGTGGCCAACATTGTTTAGTGGATAGGCCATTTAGAATCTCATCATTCTCAAAAAAAAAATACCTTCAACTGGTATTCCCAAACATCATTCCGAACATCATTAAGCATCACCTGATCAGACAACAAAAACTCAAAAACTGCAATTTCCTCAGCAATTAACAATATGGTGGCGGCACACCACACCATACACGGAAAACAACAAAAATCAGCCAAAAAAAAAACAACCTCGTACTTTTATACAGGATGTCTCCTTATATTTCGACTCCTACCTACAGCTCCAACTATAAGAGGTAGAAAATATTGTTAAGATGAAAGTTGTGAAGTTTCACTGGCAAGTATAAAACAAATTGCAAAATTTAAAAAATATGTACCTAAAGATAGTTAATTTTCCACCATGTATATTCACAGCTGTAGGTAGCAGTTGAAATATAAAGAGATCACCTTGTACGCAAGTAATAAAACTAAGAGCAAATAATCAAAAAACCAGATATAAATATATTAATTACAATTCACTGTCAGCCACAATTTGTTAATAAAAATAAAGCAGCACCTCATTTCAAAATCAATGTTGAATAATATCTTACAAATTTATAAAAAACGTGTGGTGTTCACCTAATAATATTTCAATTCATTTGTAGAATTTCATAAATTGTCAGTTCATGTTCTTTTAATTAAAATATCAACTGATCTACGACAGTCTATAGCACAACTCGTACCTCCTTATTCCACGAGCTTGAGGACCTTTCCAATGGCAATTGTCCTATCTGAAAAGAAAATATCGGAATTCAAGCAACAAACGCAAACAACTGGTCTCAAACCATACAGGGTCCCGCAGATTTAATAGGGACAGCAATGCTATTTCCTAATTCCTAAATGGCAAGAGATAGAGATTGAAAAGGAATATTCTCAGATATATTTATGAAAAAAAATGGATATACAGGGTCATATTCGATATACAGGGTGTCAAAGTTGGAAATTAAAAACTGTTTTTTTCTAATTACTCGCGTATTTGATAAGATATTAATCTCATAATTGGTACATTACTCCAGCACAAAGAGTTACTTCGTGTGAGGAAAACAAAACAGAAAATAACTGTCAAATATTTAAAATACTGGGGGTCAAGTACACACTTACCCCCATATTTTTTTATACGTGCGCTAATGACTCCCTATCTATTTTTCTTCAAGTGTTCAATCATTTTTGAGTATTTTTTGTCTCTTGTGAAATTTCGATAAAATCATTTAATTCTAAGATAATTCTAATAGTACTGGTTATTGTTTGATGCCTGTGACAATATCTACCTGCAGACTCTCACAATCACTCGGCATAAAGAATGATGTGAACCCTTAAACATGAACTTTGTTCCATATTTGTATATCTCGAAAACTAAGAGATATAAATTAAAAAAAGAAAAACCTTCAAACGCTCTCTAGATCAGTAACGAAGCGTTTGCGGAAAATGAGAAAGTTTAATTTTTATCTGAAAAATAAGCCCCTAAAATCTTGATACTGAGTTTTTGAAACACCCTGTATAAGTTTGGCCAGTTAATGTAGGAGTATATCACTACTGTGTAAGCAAAACACGTTGTGTGATTTGAGAATTTTGTGATAATCCAGTAGTTCGTGAAGTTTTTTATATTCACTATATATTTTTATGAAATAACGACATAGTCCATTGAAAAAATATGAATTTTTGTTTCACTTACTTTCATCTCTGAGCGTAAATCTTCCCATTTGAGGTGTCGATTTGAAAGGTTCTAGGCAAATCACTCCAGCACATTCAATTCTCATAATAGCTACTTGGTCTTGTTTCACAAACCTTGGACGTGTTTTGCTCTTATCCCCTGTTTTTTTATCCACTAGACATATTAAGGCCTGAAATAAGGAAAGTAAAGACATGAGAGACAACAATTTTTCAGTTATTTTTTTTTTGTGAAAGATGACATTATCTCCCTTGTTGACAATGATAGAGAGAAAATAGTTATTTATACACCAAGGTAGTAAAGAATCCGAGGGGTATAAGGTTCTGTGGTAATAATATTTTTTACTAGCAAGGTGTATATTCATTTTTTTCACCACTAGCAATACATTTCATTCATTTTAGTTCTGTGAAACTGAAATATGGACTTATTGTCACTTATGTCACTCACGAGAGCTTTTTTTGTCGATGTAAACTTGACATGTATCAATGAAAATTTTGTTGCCTGACAATTTGACGAAAAAAAACTGCCTCTCAAAAAATTGCGAGTCCGTAGGACAATAATTTTTTTTGCAGTTTTTTGAGTTGAGTTACCTAATGGCAACAAAATTCGAATTATAAATACCAAGTTTACTTTCACTAAAAAAACTAAAGTGTAATTCGGTAAGGCAATTCGATTCATCATACATTTGTTTAAGGCTTCATGCTTTCAAAAGTTAGGTTCCGTTATTGTCGGTGGAAAAGTTAGGACAAACTTTTTTCGCTGTCATAATGACAAAATCACGCGGCTTGTGGGATATTTCATACATGAATTAAATTGTCACTATAAAAGCACTTCTTTTCCATTCTGATTGAAATCTAGTAGCTATAACCATGACAGCATATGATAAGTTGTTATTGATAAATATCCCTACTAGTTCAAGTGCCATTCCTGTGAATATTGCCATCAGAACAGTGAATTCAGGTTAATTACAACTTACAACAGAGGTGGCTATGTCTGTATTGCCTAATGTTTCATAAAATTACGAAAACTACCTTGGTAGTAAAAACATACATTATGCATCGAAAAAGGAGTAGATAATGGTAGGTTTTATTGCTCCAGGTGAAAAAAAAATCTTAATAAATAATCCGATTTTCCCGAATATTCTCAGAGTATCAAAAGGGTAATCTATGGTAAAAGTCCATGGTATCTCAAAGTGGAGTGAATAGATTCATAAACAAGAGATGACTTTGCGTGTCTTGTTTATGTATCAAAAGGGTTGTAACGGTCCAGTAGACTATTCATGTCTACCTGTCCATTACAGAAGTATTCCACTCACAATATGCTACCAAATAAGTATTTTTCATCAACACAATCACCAAGAACAAAATGTAACTATGTTTTCAATAACCAAATATTATCAGTACCATAGAGAAAAACCCAGTCAGTACCTTAGTAAATAAATTCCTATTCGCGTTGGACGTCCTTCACACTGTATCAGCACGTATTTAATATCCAGATGCCACCTGTGAAGGATTTCATTTCATGATGTGTTTTCAAGTCCATGTTTATTTTTGGTAAACAATACAATACTCGCGATCAGCTGACTGAGCCATTAACCTCAATCATGATTCTTCGTTTTAAATTTGCACGGCCTCAGCGTATAAATTACTTTTACCTAATTAATCATTGGCAATAGTGAACTCTGCGCGCTCTTCAAGCACTCAGCCTAGTTCACACCACACTCGATAACCTGAAACGGAACGCGGTTCCGAAATGTCAATTACAACTTGTAGCCTATTGTAATAGGGATTCTTTGAGAGGATCGAGTAGTGGAGGAATGAAACGTTCTCTCTCTAATGGCGCTTTGCTGTGTTAGCATGCCACCTTTTGAGCTGAAAATTGTTGTTTTCAAAAGGCACGTCCTTTTATGATGAAGGCCGATTTACAACTCTAGGCAAGTTACTAATATATTTATCTTCAAAATTATAATAAATTATGTATCGAGTCATATCGGAATGTCTTGAAAACACTATCATAATGATTTCTTTTCAGGCCTTCAACCTTCACCTTTTTTTTGTCACATGGTAATGCCATGAAATCTTCATGTGCTATTTAAAGGCGGCTGCCTAATTTTCCTGAGCCATGTATTATATTTAATGCTTATGGGGCAATAATACATTTTGTCTCTCCATTACTCTCCAACTGGATTCCTCCGGATTTTGTATCTCCGTGATGGATGTCAGTGAATAAAATAATGTTCACCTTGTATGTTTTCCTGAACCAATGCTGAGAAGGTACCCAGGACTAATGGATTATGGATTATGGAAATTTCAATAAAACCACTGTAATTTTCTGGAAATATTTGGTAGTGGCTACATTACAGTAAGACTGGTGACTTACCTACTGTAAGTAGATTTTCCATATAAATTTAAATCGTCAACGTGATGAGAAGAGGAGCCTCCACGTCTGATTAGTATTTATGATACTTCAAGTTCAATATTACTCTCTCCTTTTGTGAGAAACGGAATATCAGCGCTGATAGTTCATTTCATAGGGCCTTGTATCTTTTTCTAAATTCATAACACACCTTTAGGACATTCATTCATTTCATTTGCCACGGAAAAGCCACAGTGAGGCTTAATTTAAGATTTCTAGTAATACTAACCAACATTGACTAAAGTCAGATTGTTCAAGGAACAACTGTTGCAATTATTCATAAGCTCACTAATAAATTCAGAGATAAGTACTAGTAATATTGTAGGCTGTAAGGGTGATGGTTCCCATTTAAAGTTCACTTAAATATTGATACTGTTTGTAAGCAAATGTAACTATTATTGCTGAGTATCTATTTATTATATGCATGGTTCCGGAACAACTCCTGTTGCATTGATATTTTTGTTTTGTCCCCCCCCTACTCCTTTCCCAGTTTATCCTGGGTGGCGCTCACACTATCTTGTTTTGATAGTTCATGAAATTGAAAATAATAAATTAAAACTTGACTTAGTCGAATCCACGACCACTCGACTGACTCATCGTCAGAGCATTGGGACCATAATTTCTATTCTGTGAAGTTACGTCACAGGATGTTCCAAGAAAAAGTGGCACCGGTGCTGAGATTGTTGGAAAAACAATTTTAATAAAAAATTTTTACAAGTATGTCGACTACTACTGACAACATTGTTTTATTTCTTACATAGAATCATCACTCAAATACCTTTCAATTTCATATTTTTTAAAGAATTTTTCGGTCGATTTTTAGGTACTAAAATCATCAATAATGCCACGGTAATTTTCTAACGGCTAGAAATTTACCGCCAGTAAAAACTGACGTCACGATTTCGTAAGTAGGCGCAGACCATAGCACAGTTGCCATGTGTTCAAATACGATGGGGAACTTCAGAAATATTAATTATTCAATAATTCATAATTTCTCAATTGAGTATTGGTAATATTCCTAATTAGCAATAAGGATTCAGTTGACTCGAAATATTCCCTTATGATTTGTGGCTTATTGCTCATAATAAATATGTGTTAATAATAATTATATCAATTCACAACAGAGGACATTTGAATCGGTGAACGTGACAACCCTGCGCACGACTTGTGGGCGTGATCTCGTTAATTCTCAGCATTCAGCACAATGTTGTCAAGTCTCGAACATTCACATGATATTTTGTTATTATACATGATATTATGATGAGAGACATCGGCAACTTTGTTAAAACAAATAATGTTCACCTCCATTAATTTCTCAAATACGGCTAAAGATGGACTTTCATAAGTTCGAAACATGTCCCGTTGAATAACTACATCAATATTAAAGTTGTGGAGATGACTTTGAGCTTTCCTTCCTCCTTTTAAAAATTCCACTCCACTTTGAGCAAACACGGACTTCTACCAGAGGTTAGAATGAGAAATATTTGGACATGCTGGTTAGCATGTGTTTCGTTTTTTTTTTGTATTTTTAGGTAATAAATGAAATCTTCTATGACAGAGATACAAAAAAAATCTATATGGGAAATTGATATCTGGACTATTTCTGGAACTCCACTTCTCTCTTACTTGTAATATACGATTTCTTCCACTTTTATGTGTAAATCATGTGTTCCTTAGGTCTATCAAATTAACAGTGTCTAGGTTTAGTTTGATAATAATAATCTTTATTATTCCCAAGAAACATATATGTTTATAGCAGGGAAAATCATGAAAGAGCAACTAAAAAAAATAAAATTAGATAATCAGATAATCATTTTTAAATCATATACATAGTACATATAATATTTTGATTTAGGATGATGATGAGAATCAAAGACATAGGTATTTTTCAATTCTTTTTTGAATTCCCCAACACTCAATTTTTTTCAGTCTAGCAGGTAATTCATTATAGAGAATTGTTCTATTGTATAAAATAGATATTTTACTCATATCTGATTTAATTTTGATGAGAGTTAACATATCTTTTCGTCTGTCTGTCTGTCTGTCTTTGAATGTTTATTATATTTGACGGAATGGATGAAACTCAATAATGAATTTGTGAATGGAGTTAATTTAACAATTGCCTAGGTTTATAAAGATTTCTTGTTGGTTCCAAGTAATCTAGATTGTATATACATTTAATAACTTTCTTTTGAAGGATTTTGATTAATTATCTTTATTATTATTCCCAAGAAACATACATGTTTATAGCAGGGAAAATTATGAAAGAGCAACTAAAAAAAAAAAAAAAACAAAAATTAGATAATCAGATAATCATTTTTAAATCATATACATAATACATATAATGTTGTTTCTTCTAGAGACTGTTGAATATAATTTCTTGAATTGATTCAGGATGACATGGAGAGAATCAAAGACATAAGTATTTTTTCAGTTCTTTTTTGAATTTTTCAACACTTAATTTTTTCTTTAGTCTGGCAGGTAATTCATTATAGAGAATTGTTCCATTGTATAAAATAGATCTTTTACCGATATCTGATTTAATTTTGATGCGAGTTAACATATCTTTTTGTCTGGTTATGTGTTCGTGTTTATGACTATTGACTTCAAAATTCAGATTTGAATGTTTATAATTATATTTGACGGAATGGATGAAATTCAATATTTTGAATTTGTAAATGGAGTTTATATCTAACAATTGCCTAGGTTTATAAAGATTTCTTGTTGGTTCCAAGTAATCTAGTTTGTATATACATTTAATAACTTTGTTTTGAAGGATTTTGATTGGCTTCATGATTGATAATCTAGCTGTACCCCAAACTGAAATCAAGTATTGTAATTTTGAATAAACCAAGGAAAAATATATACATTTCAAGTATTTCAAAGTGATTTGGTGTCTGATCCTGTAGAGTACTCCGATTACTGGAGATATTTTCTTTCTGATCGATTCAATATGTTTGGACCATGACAAATGTTCATCAAGGAATATCCCAAGGAATTTGATGGCTGTGGAATATTTGATGATTTCATTATTAAATTTGATATCAAATTTTAGTTCACTTGAGAGGCGTCGTTTAGAGATATACATGAATGCTGATTTGCTGTAATTTATACTCAATTTATTATAGGACAACCATGAAGATAAAATAATCAAGTCACTTTCAATTGCATTTCTGATTTGTTGGATTGAGTCTGCGGAATAAATCAATGTAGTGTCATCAGCGAACATGTAAACTTTTCCTTTCAATTGGATGTTAACAATCGAGTTGATATATATCAAAAATAAAACAGGGCCTAAGATTGACCCTTGTGGTACTCCACATATAATGTCATTAGCTGTACTTGAAACTGTTCCTTGATAAACAAATTGCTTTCTACCACTCAAATAATTGATAACCTAGCTGTACCCCAAACTGAAATCAAGTATTGTAATTTTGAATGAACCAAGGAAAAATATATACACCCTGTCCAAGCTAAAATGTCCCCTCCTGTAAAAAATCAACCGCGCAATCCAATGACTTGAAATTTGGTCACCTAGTATTTTTGATGATGCTCACTCAAAATATGGTATTGAATAAATCCTAGGTATACAGAGTCACACCGGAGTGCACATCAACTTTCTTATTTGAATAGGGACACCCAGTATATTATTCCATATTCAAGTAGGTAGAAGTCATTATTACAAATTCACCAATGCCGGGTTTGATGGAAATTTTTCAAACAACTACGAAGATATGGCAAAAAATGAACGATTCCATGAAAAATTTATATGATTAGATTAGATTAGGTTAGGAGAAAATCTAATAACCACCAATTGTCTCGATGGTGATAGCAACTGGCCAGCTCGACTGCTAGACCTCACCCCACTTGATTTTTATTTGTGGGGCTACTTGAAACAATAGGTTTATGAGTCGCCAATTGTGAATATGGAAGAAATGAAAGAGAAAATCACAAATTTATGCGCACAAATTGATACATAAGGTCACAATGAACGTTATCAAAAGAGCTAGGAAATGTTTACAGCAGAATGGACGACATATTGAGCAGTTGAGGTTTTGATTATTTCTTTTTCATTCGATTTCAATCCTGTTATATTAATAAAATGTTTTATTGAATCGTCTTTTTTGGTATATCTTCATAGTCGTTTGAAAACATTTCATGGAACCCGGCATTGTTGAATTTGTAATAACGAACTCTAATTGAATATGGAATAATATACTGGGTGTCCCTATATAAATAGGAAAGTTTAGGTGTTCTTCGGTGTTACCCTGTATACCTACGATTCATTCAATTGCATATTTCGAGTGAGCATCATCAAATATAGTGGGTGACCAAATTGCAAGCCATTCGATTGCGCGGTTGATTTTTTACAGGGGGGGATATTTTAGCTGGGACACGGTGTACATCTCAAGTATTTCAAAGTGATTTGGTGTATGATCCTGTAGTAGAGTACTCCGATTACTAGAGATATTTTCTTTCTGATCGATTCAATATGTTTGGACCATGACAAAAATGTTATTAGACATAGTCTGTTTGTAATTAGTATAAATAAATAAATAAATAAATGAATAAATACAATATTCACTTACTTTAACGGTGACCTCCTCGGCCGCGCAATGGATGTGCATCACCGCGCTGTATCCCGCGCAGATGATCGACTTGTGTTCGAGGATGACCAGCTGCGCATCGAAAATCCTGCCGGTGTGGATGGGATTGACGGAATCGCACAGCACGAAACCGGGACTGACGTCCTCCTCTTCCACGCCTTTCACTTTGATCTTGACGTTCTCTCCGGAAACCACTCGGTTGACCTCGTCGTCATCGGAAAGTAACATATCGACTGTGACAGGTGTCTAAATTTTCAAAGCAGACAAAAGTTAACGATCTTGAATGCCAAACTCGGATTAATGAATGAAATCGCGGATGGTGGGGATAACTCTGAGGAATCACTCCCAGAAAATTGATATTTTTTATAGACAGAAAGTTGTGCCGAATAAAGTTGCAGTGACAGTTTTAATTGATTAATCGAAATAAATTCAGATAAACTGAAGTGATCCTGTATTCACAGTGAAAAGTTTTCATCGCGTCTCTTATCACTCAGTAGTTTTTTGCTCGATCTCGTACAGGGTGATTGACTATGGATTTCTCGACTTCAACAGCTGATATCTCGAAAACGAGAAAAGATATTTGAAATTTGGAAGAAGGTACCTGAATGAGATGTCATTTCCTTCTAGAAAATGTGTTCTCTGCTTAATTTCATCATTTCATATACAGGGTTCGTGAAAAAAAATTTTTTTTCAAATGGAACCCCCTGTATATTATCGCATATTTCGAAAGAGCTATCTTTCCTGATTTCGAAGATATATAGTTTTCATATATTCTATCGAGGGCTTGACGAAATATCAGCAAAATTAAATATTAATATTTGGTCCAAGTTAGCTATGGTTGAAATAGAATGAGATGATGAATAAGTGAATTGACATTTGGCCAACATTCCAGTGACATAAGTGCGCAAAATTTCGACAATTTTTTCACGATGCTATATCCACTGGAACAAAGAAGATATATTTTGGAGTGCTATTTTTCAGTTAATGAAAATCTTGCTGAAAAACTTACACTTACACTTACTTATATTTAATCTTTCAGATATGACAAGACAAAATTCAATCCGCTTCTCATTATCATCATAATTGAGTTTGTGGCATGGTCTAATTCTGAAATCCCTATATTTATATTTCCTTAAGGTATGTTGAACAAAATAATAGCTGAAACCAAACTCTCACTGCATTTCTTATTGACCGTGAAGGAACCTCAACAAAATACTGGATACTTGATATTCGACAAACTGGAAGTTCTGTCGAATTTAGCAGCCAAATACTTTACATAATTCTTACTTGGTAATCTCCTGCCTGGATAACTCCTCATAAACTTATGAAGTGTTTCAGCAAGATTTTTATTGACTGAAAAATAGCACTCCAAAATATCTCTTCTTTGTTCCAGTGGATATGGCATCGTGAAGAAATTGGCGAAATTTTGCGCACTTATGTCACTGGAATGTTGACCAGATGTCAATTCACTTATTCATCATCTCATTCTATTTCAACCATAGCTAACGTAATGTAATGTATTTATTAAATCCTTCTTACTATCGATACAATAGAATGGAACTTGGACCAAATATTAATATTTAATTTTGCTGATATTTCGTCAAGCACTCGATAGAATATATGAAAAGTATATATTTTCAAAATCAGGAAAGATAGCTCTTTCGAAATATGCGATAATATACAGGGGGTTCCATTTGAAAAAAAAATTTTTTTTCACATACCCTGTATATGAAATGATAAAATCAAGCAGAGAACACATTTTCCAGAAGGAAATGACATCTCATTCAAGTAACTTTTTCCAAATTTCAAATATCTTTTTTCGTTTTCGAGATATCAGCTGTTGAAGTCGAGAAATCCATAGTCAATCACCCTGTACAATGCCCGTCAACTGTACTACCTGTTCAGGCAGTGGCAGCTGACAATAGTATATTAAACACCGACGTGGGAAGTGATTCATTCCTGTCGTGAGATTAGTTAGTTAAGCGAGACGCAAAGCGTCGAGATTAGTTAGTTAAGCGAGACGCAAAGCGTCGAGATTAGCTATAATCTCGAGACAGGAATGAAACTCCCTACCGAGGTTTGTATACTATTTTATTTACAACCATCATATTTCGATCAAAATTAATGAATATATGTTTCGTTCTGAACACACCTGAATTATTACATGAGTGAGGGGCGGGAAGTAGAAGTGTGTAATGTGACACTTCCCAACCTTCAATGACGTTAGTAATGACAACATTACATATATGGTTGTAAATAGTATAGTACTCACCGAGGTGAGAAGTGATTTATTCCCGTCGTGAGATTAGTTAGTTATAATCTCGAGACAGGAATGAAACTCCCTACCGAGGTTTGTATACTATTTTATTTACAACCATCATATTTCGATAACTTTGATCTTGACGTTCTCTCCGGAAACCACTCGGTTGACCTCGTCATCGTCGGAAAGTAACATGTCGACTGTGACAGGTGTCTAAATTTTCAAAGCAGAAAAAAGTTAACAATCTTGAATGCCAAACTTGGATTAATGAATGAAATCGCGGATGGTGGGGATAACTCTGAAGAATCACTCCCAGAAAAGTGATATTTTGTATAGACAGAAAGTAGTGCAGAATAAAGTTACAGTTCTAATTGATTAATCTGAGCTGATCCTGTATTCACAGTGACAAGTTTTTATCGCGTTTTTATCACTCAGTAGTTTTTTGCTGGCTTTCGTACAATGCCCGTCAACTGTACTACCTGAATTATCACAATTTTTGTTTCTATTCTTGGGTATGAGAACGCACAGAATATGATTGAGAAAATGCATCGTGTTGCGCACATGGATTCGAAGAACAAATCTCCACGTTCGATCATCGTTACTTCATCTCGTCGTAGTGAAAGGTATGCTTTGCTGTCAGCAGTAGTGGTCGACGGAGTTTCATCTGACTCTCTTATCATAAATGCTGGTGTTCCGCAAGGATCAATGGGCTTATATCACAAAAAAAATTTATTCCATAATTCGATAGAACTCACCCAAACTAGCTCACCACCGCAAACCGATTCTTGCTGTGAGCTCCCTACGTTTTATAAAAAATTATTGAAATCCCCGATTTTTCGGACCTCTGATGAAAACGAGGCGATGCTGTGACGTCAAAACCCTACCGAAACAAGATTATTCCAGACAGAGATGAATGATATATGATTTCTGACAGAGTGAATGGGCTTATATCACAAAAAATTTTTATTTCATTATTCGATAGAACTCACCGAAACTAGCTCACCACCGCAAACCGTTTCTTGCTGTGAGCTCCCTACGTTTTATAAGAAATTATTGAAATCCCCGATTTTTCGGACCTCTGAAAACGAGGCGACGATGTGACGTCAAAACCCTATTACTGAAACAAGACTATTCCATACAGAGATGAATGATACATGATTTCTGACAGAGTGAATTAGCGCGAGATCACAGTTGAAAGAATTAATATATCAGTTGTCTCAGTCCCCGTCGGGCTTTTGGTATTTTCTTTCAACTATGGCGAGATGAGGTTTCTACGTCATAAGAGAGGGTCCGTTTTCAGATGGTACTATTATTTATGTCCAAAAATAAAACATTCCAGTTAATTTTTCGATCGAATTATGTCGTCAATCATTTATTATGTATAAAAGGATCATTATAAACATAGTTTGAGTTGAAAGTTCTACCAAGGTGTACACGCCCATTAGCGCGAGATCACAGTTGAAAGAATTAATATATCAGTTGCCTCAGTCTCCGTCAGGCGTTTGGTTTTTTTGTTTTAACTATGGCGAGATGAGGTTTCTACGTCATAAGAGGGTCCGTTTTCAGAAGGTATTATTATTTATGTCCAAAAATAAAACATTCCAGTTAATTTTTCGATCGAATTATGTCGTCAATCATTATTTATGTATAAAAGGATCATTATAAACATGGTTTGAGTTAAAAGTTCTACTAAGGTGTACACGCCCATTCTAGCACCAACAGTATTTCTACTCCATATCAACGATTTGTTGGAAGCAACTTCATGTCCAGTACACAGCTTCGCTAGAAAAGCCGTGCCACTGTGTCCAACATAAGCTTGTCAGGAGTAACCATACCTTCGAAGACATCCATTTCGATGCTTGGTATTACTATCAGCAATAACCTTTCTTCGGAAAATCACGTGAGATCAATTGCTAAAAATGCATCCAAAAACCTTGGTTTTCTGTTTCGGGCCAGGAGCTATTTCACTTCCAGTCACCTGCTTATGATCTATAAGGCACAGATCCGACCTGTCGTGGAATACTGTTTCGATATTTAGAGTGCAGCACCCAAACATACCCTGAAACTGTTGGATTCTGACCAAAAAAGGGCAATTCGTCTCATATGTGATGCCTTGCTCACGAACTCACTCACTTCTCTGGAGCACCGTAGAAAAGCCGTGCCACTGTGTCCAACATAAGCTTGTCAGGAGTAACCATACCTTCGAAGACATCCATTTCGATGCTTGGTATTACTATCAGCAATAACCTTTCTTCGGAAAATGACGTGAGATCAATTGCTAAAAGCGCATCCCAAAAACTTGGTTTTCTATTTCGGGCCAGGAGCTATTTCACTTCCAGTCACCTGCTTATGATCTATAAGGCACAGATCCGACCTGTCGTGGAATACTGTTCCGATATTTAGAGTGCAGCACCCAAACATACCCTGAAACTGTTGGATTCTGCCCAAAAAAGGCAAATCGTCTCGTGGGTGATGCCTCGCTCACGAACTCACTCACTTCTCTGGAACACCGTAGAAAAGTTGGCGATCTGGCTCTATTTTATAGATATTTTCATGGCCGATGCTCTTTTGAAATATCAACAATTGTTCCTCCCTTGGCAGTCCCCGCAAGATTAACCCGTCGAGTTGAGGCTTCGCACCCCTTCGTGGTCACTTTGGTCCAGAAATTTAAGAAGAACACCAATTCCAACCTTATTTCCCTAGGTTCTCACGATGTTCTCTGAACATTACAGGATTACCTTTTTCGTGGGAACCAGAACATAAAAAAAGCTATCCGAAAACGCAAAGGGATGGCGGTTAATGAAGTTGGATTTTCTGATGTGGATGGTCAAAACAAACCTCTGAATGAACATCTCACTCCAAAAAATTAAGACTTGTTCAGGAAAATTCGAGAATTTTGTAAACCAAAAGGACTCAATTGCTGGACTCGTAACGCGAAACTTTATCTCTCAGATACTAGTGGGAAAACAAAGCTAATTACTAATGAAAGTGTACTCTCAAATGTTCTATAAAGAAACCAATCAATGCGAATCTGTTTCCTTTTTGGCATTTGGAAGTCTCTTCACTGATTTAGAAATATATTATAGTTATATCATACTCTATACTGGGTCAGCAACAGTGACAGTGAATTACATATTTCCAAATTATAGAATGTAAATTGTTTAAAATTAAAAATTTGCAGAAAACCATTTATTCAAATCTTGAAAAACTTTATTGCATTTATGGAGGTATCTGCATACATGGTCATAGATGTATCAATTGTCTTATCGAGGTCATTAACATAAAATAGAAATAATATAGGTGCCAAAATTGATCCTTGTGGAACCCCTAAGTCAGTTAAAATGAAGTCAGATTTCAACAAATTGTTTCCTAAAAGAAAGGTAGTCTGCTATCCAGGTCAGTGGATTACCACGAATACCATACCTGAAGAGTTTATTTAAGAAAATGTTATGGTCGACGCAATTAAATGCCCTGCTGAGATCACAGACAATCCCAACATGGTATTCTCTGGCCTCAATACATCTAATTATCTCACTATAATAGGAGTGAATGGCTGTGGTAGTTGATGTTGTTGTCCAGGAATCCGTGCTGATTCTGTGTGAAAAGATTGTGACTATCACAAAATGGAAGTAACCTGTTTGAAACAGTATATTCAAATACTTTTGAAAAACAGGTGGAATCGTGACTGGCCGATAGTTTTCTAATGAATGGGGACTATTCTTCTTTCAAATTGGTATTATTCTTCCAGTTTTTATCAAATTCAATTCAAATTAGCAAAAGCAAAGGTGCAATAATAACTGAAAGACATTTCTTCAGAACGAACATTGGAAGCTCATCAAATCCCGAGGATGATTTATTTTTCAATTTACCCTGAAGAAGGTTATACAGTTCCACCTCTGTATAATGATTGAGGAATAGTAAGATAATTTGATGTTTTTCAAAAAACACTGATAATCAAGATTTTCTTTATTGATCTGTCTTGTTATCTCTTTTGGACCATCTCTGAAGTGATTATTAAAGTGGAGAAAGGAAAGTATCACTTTAAATGTAGCCGATAGTGATTCATTGTTCCAATGATATTTTCGTTTAGGATCGAGTTCTATTTAAGAAATTTCAATGTAATCCAACTACCCTCTACGTTCTTCCTCCGAGAAGCCGATTAAAAACGAACTTGTCACTGACATTAGTGACATTTGTCGAAATAATCAATATGGAAAATGAATTCCTTGTGTTAGAAAACAGGGATTAAAATCATGTCAGGAACGTTAAGAGGCTAACCCGTTAACGTAAAATGCAAATTCTACAGAATAAGGTGTTAAAATTGCTGTTCAATATGGACAGAAGAACACCTAGTGATATTCTATACAGTAACGAGAATGTAATTCAACTGGCTCGGCTTCGCTAGACGCTCCGCCTCGCGAATGCAAAATTCGATCCTAATAACACAATCTACCTGTTTCGACATATTCAATTGGAACAATCAAAATCTACAAAATCAACACATTCATCTATGGCATACAATTTGCTGATGACACAGCCACTATAAGTCATCATAAATCACTTGAAAAAGCAGTTGAAGAGTTACAAAACGCAATTCGGAACACTATGAGATGGTGTGACAAGTGGAGGCTAAAACCAAATCCAGAAAAATCCCAACTGATACTCTTCAATAAAAAATATCAGATGATTCACCCACGGTAACTGTGAACAATCACGTAGTGAGAACTAGGGCTTTAGTTAAATATCTGGAGTGCACTTAGATCAAAAACTAAAACTTTAACCATCATACCCAGTTGATGAAAAAAAAAAGTGCATCACAAGAGCTAAACATTTTCGAAGCCTAACCTACAAGAATAAAGGAATTAGCAAAAGAGCTGCAGCACATATTTACAAAACCATTTGCCGCCCGCCCAATTCTTGAGTATGCTCATCCACTATATCTAAACATGAGGAAGACGACACGGACCAATTTGGAAGTAACAGAAAGAGCTAGCCTGAGAGCCATTACCAAAATCCGGCACCCTCAAAATCCTCTTCACCATCCATCAAACGAACTTCTATATCGGCTGACCAGGGTGCAACCAATTTCTGAGAGACTGAAAAAGCTAGCATTGAAGTTTTCCAAAAACGAATCCAATCTCCAAATTATCCAATTCCAGTGTTTACAGAGAGATCCAACAGTGAACCCAAGACGGAAGTTTCCGGAAAACACCTATTGGAATGCTTAATCAATTCAGAAGACTGAAATTCCTTCAAAATTCTTGCCTCACAATAGATTTTTCTTTTTTCAACACTAGCAAATTTAATAATTCCATATATCTTGTACATACAATAATGATGAATTTAAACTCAATGTATAATCACTGTGTAACACAGGCTGAAGGACCTCGGTCGGTAGCCTTTTGGGTATCCAATAAAGCTCTTTAATTATCAATTATTAACACAATCTACTATTTACTAGAGTCCCTGTATATACCTTAGACAAGAGTCCGGACACAAAACTGACAGCCGTTGGGGTTTTTAACATTTTGTTTCATTTGGTTTGCCCACCTGACAATGTGACGAAACACCATAGTCGCCCACCCGCTTTTTTCAATTATTTCGAATATCTGTCACTGTCACTGAAATTTTATGACAGCCAAAATTTACCATTTTAAATTATTTCAATGTCCTGCTGCGTACATTATTGCGATAATTCATTAGAAAAGGGATTCAAGTTATTCAATTTTCCGAATGATCCTTTAAAGATAGTGTCATGGAAGAATGCTATGAAACGTCCAGAATGGAAAATTAATTTCAAGAAATCCGCAATATGTGAGGTAAATATTCAAATTTGCTTGAAAGAACAGTACAAAAAAGATGAATTTTAGGCCCATTTTGATAGAGATTCTTTCAAGCTGATGGATTTCAAATTGAAAGAGTCTGCTGTGCCGTCAATTTATAAAATAGAGACGTTCAAAAAAAGAGTTCCGTCTTCATCGTATTGGGAATTACTGAATGATACGATCGCAGAGAAAGAAAATGAGAATGAGATGATGCGGAAAGAAATTGAAAGTTTGAAATCAAAACTAGAAGATTTAGAGAAATTGCAATGTGCTGTCATCAGTCCACGGTGTTTTTAATTTAGATCAAATTCAAAATTTACAAGTGAATGTAGATTGCAGGAAGAGGTGGGAAACTGACACAATTGAAATTATATTGAAACAATTATATATCTTCTATTTTTTATATCCCAACAGAAAACAACTATATTTTCTTGGCTATATGTGATACCACATAGAACACTTAAATTATCTTTCTTATATCTAATGAAGTGAAGAAATACCTGATGACGAAAATCTGCAATAGCCATCTCAGGAATTGATTATAAAAATTTACGATTCGAAATTTGAACACCCTGTTGTTCATTATTTGAAAATCTGATAGTAATTCTAGTTAAAATAGCCCTATTTCTCACTTCTACCTACGGCTATGAACGGTTTGACAAATAATCTAACCCTCAAAAGTTTTTCTGACAATCATTGATCCTAGGGGAATTGAAAAGACAGAGCTGGATATATATGTCTTATTCCTTTATTCAATCATCAATGCATTTTTTGAAAACAGAAAAGGACAGAAGTATAGCTGTGTCTGGACTCTTGTCTAAGGTATATACAGGGACTCTACTATTTACTAGTTAAAAAACAGAAAATTAGTTGGGAAATAATAAATAATGAACTCACCCTATTTGGCATAATGAGCATTACTTGTCCTTTTTTGCACTCTCCCGATTCCACTTTGCCCATGAGCACTGTGCCCATGTCTTTGTATTTGTCCACGATGGGCATTATGAAGGGCCCGTCGTTTTTCCTACTGATCGACGGTAAATTGTCGATGAAAGGGATGAACGCCTGCCCTCTGTACCAAGGGCAAAGTTTCTCCTCCAGTTGGTCTTTCAGTCCTTGGCCCGTCTGACCCGAACACGGCAGGAAGTACAGATCTTTGTTATAAATGAAGCCTAATTTTTTTAAATACGGTAGGATTTTTTCTTTACATTCGTTGTATCTGAAAAGGAATTAACTGTATTCATATTCTTACTTGTCGATGCTATTTTTGTAGCAGAAGGACAAATTCGTTTCCTGTTTTTTTTTATTTGTTCTCGCACATACATATATGTACAGGGTGTCCGGAAAGGTCATGTCATAAATGATAGGGCTTTTAAACATTGAACGGTTGCCATGGTATCCATGATACTCGGACAACACAATCAACTAATAAAATATCAACATTATATAGGAAAGCATTAAAAGTACTGTATTGTCTTCCATATTATTATGATACACCAACAACTGAACTGTATGCTTCAACAAAAACATATTCTTTAGAAGAACTGAACAGATTAGAGAATCTGAAAATTTCATACATCAAAAATAAAGAATTGAAATCTAATTATTATTTCAACAAGAAATTTTGAAATTCATAGTCATCAAACTAAACAATATAAGTTATTTCACCTTGATGCTGCTAGTTCTACACTCGGACAAAAAAGATTCAGTCATGCGGCCTCATCCGAGTTCAATAAACTACCAGATGAAATCAAAAACTGCAGAAATATATGTACATTAAAAAAAAATTAAAAAAATGATAATTTCTAAGAGAAATGTTTAAAGTGTATCAGTAAGTTATGTCCTTGACTAGAATTCTTTTCTTCGTTCATTGATTGTTTTGTTTTATTGTGATTTATTGTTTGTTTGTGTAGCAGTTCATAAATATTCATTACTTATTATTTCATAACTATGTTCTTCCTCATACCAGAACTTGTTCTAACTGGAAGATGTTTGATAAATAAAATAAATAAACTCATACCAGTCACTAGGTGGTTTTAGTTAGATACAGACACAAAAATGACAGTGTTTTTGAATGTTTTGAAAGTTACACACCTTGCATTGTGACAAGAGCACCATAGTCGTCCCGCGCTTTTTCATTCAAAATTGTCTGAATTTGACAATACATATTTCATGAATGTCAGAATTGATATATAATTTCATAAACTATTGACAAGCAAGCATACTTGAAAATGTTCTGCTGTGTAATGAATTGTGGGAATTCTGAAGAAAATGGATCATTCATTCAATTTTTTCAAAGAATTATCAACAATTCTCATAAGGAAGGAATGTTTGAAACGGCCTGGATGGAAAATTAATTTGAAACAAGCAAAATTTGTGAGGTACATACATTGAAATGCACTTCTTATATCAGCAGATCAGAATGAAACTACATATTAGGTCCATTTTTGAACAGAAGATTTAAAGATCCGTAAGAGATAATCTGCTCTTCCATCTATTTACAAAACAGCTACTAATAGCCCAATCACCTTAGTATCAAATTTGACGAATAGCGGGAATCGAACCCAAAGTTTTGAAAATTGGTGTACACGTTCCCTTTGGCATGACTTTCAACCAAAAAAAAGTCACCACCTGTACCTGTAGAGCTAACTCCGCCATCTTGAAAAATGTGTGCACTTTTTCAGTTATTCGGTTATATCTCAGTATCTGTTAACTTTATCGATATCAATATGCTAAGGTAAAATGAAGGAAATTGAATTTAGAAAAAAAAAAGTTTTCTACATAAATACTCGTTACGTGCATGGTTTATCAGTAAATCGTAAAACAATATGCGATATTTGAGAAACTCTCATAATTATTCTGATATACATATATTCCAACTACAAGTAACTGTCAGAGAGTCGGCGCCATATTCAAGGATCCTCGCAACACAAAACAGCGATCGGCCATTACAGAATACCAGTGTTCTTTTTATTTTATTGCTTGGAGCGCACGAAAGGGTATCCCTATAATGTTCAAAGAACATCGCGCGTTCCTAGGGAGGATAGGGACAGGAGGTAGGTATTGGAATTTGTTTTGAACTTTTGGAGATTATATGTTGTTGGGAATACTTTCACAGGCAATGAATTCCAGAGCCTAGCCGTTCTATGGATGAAGGAGTCTTGATAAAGTGCCACATATTAATGGTTTTTTTCTTTTACATTGTATGATTTGGCAGTAAAATCAAACGTTCCTGTCAATCTGCTCCAGTTACATTGCCTACGTCAGGAAACACTACGGCTCTAATTCGGTGATTGTTTTCGACGGGTACCCTGGTGATGCTGATGGAACTAAAAAGGCTGAACAGCATAGACGTGCTCTTAAAAATACATGTGCAGACATATTATGTTTTGTTTGATGAAAACATGCCGGTCACTGTCGCACAAAAAAAATTACTAGCTAACCTGAAGAACAAGAAGCGATTGATTGCTATATTATCAGAAAAAATGAAGGGTTCATCACAAAGCAAGCAGTGGACGATGCGGATTCGCTAGCAATACAGACAGCTATTGAAATGTCTTCCTCTACCCAAGTCACCGTTGTTGGATAAAATGTAGATCTACTTATTCTACTCATAGCTTTGGCTCCAGCAACGCAACATTTATTTTGTGAAACCAAAAAAAGGCAATGTATAAAGGCAAAAAGGTATACTGTTCCCGCGAACTACAAACCAATATTAAATAACAGAGCACTATCCTTCTCTTACATACCTTTGGGGGTTGTGATACCACATCATGTTAATTTAAAAAAGGAAAGTTGAAATGCTTCAAACTCATGAAGGACCGGCCATCATTACGAGAAGTTGCGAAGGCTTTCAACAACCCGGAAGCTAAGAGTGAAGAAGTATCTACTACATGTGAAAGATTCTTTCTAGCTCTGTATGATGCCCATAAAACGAAAACATCATTGAAGAAGCTACGGTACAATCTGTTAGCCAAATCTGCTACAAAAAAAAGTAGATCTGGCTTCTCTGCCACCGACGGAAGCAGCTTTGAGGCAGCACTCATTCAGAGTCAATCATCAGGTACAAGAGTCGTTGGGTAATCATAAATGTCCTGAGCTTTGGGGGTGGAAGAGGAGTGCTGTTGGTCTGGTTCCTGTGCCAACTACCCTACCTGCTGCTCCAGATTCTTTGCTCCAGATGATTTCTAGCGATTGCAAGAAAGGATGCACGGCAGCCTGCGAATGCCGAAAAGCGAGTCTTAAATTCTCGATTAGTTGCGAATATTGCCTTGGAGCATCGTGCCTCAACGCACAATACTGTCAGGACAACGCCGAAACGCTGGAATCCGAAGTGAAGTTCGATTTTTCCGTTTCATCTCTTCTAAGTAATGAATACGATGTTCCGGACGAACCCGACCCGATGGTTGTATTTTCAAATAACGAAGAATACATGCCTTATTCTCCATGTTATACCCTGCGTCTTCGAAATGGGTGATATACCTGAAGCGTAGCGTTGTCCCAGTTGTCAGCAGAACGAGAGCGGCTGATGAGACCTGGTGGGTCGAAACAGTACTGTCTTGCTCCTGCTGACAATTGGGGCAACTCTGTCCATCCTGAAACTCTTGATTATGAGATCTAGCAGCTTTTCTACTGGTCACCATGAGCGTATACAACTAAATTATAGTTTGTCCAGTCGGTTTGCAGTAGAATTTTATATTTTGCCAAATCGTTGTGGCGACATAAGTCCAAAACCGTGCATATTTCGGAAATAATCAATGAATACTTTTTTACGATAAATTTTGTTAGCTTCCTTTTACCTCTTCACCTTTATCGCGATAAAGTTGACAGTTACCGAGATATACGTGAAAATCTGAAATATTGCACCTATTTCCCAAGATGGCGGCGCAAGCTCTACAGGTATGGGTTGTGACTTTTTTTTGGTAAGATGTAATGCTAAAAGGAACACGTACACCAATTTTCAAAACTTTGGCTCCGATTCCCGCTATTGTTTCTAAGGTGACTGGGCTATAATATCATCACAGGAAATGCAAAACAAGATTATCATGGAGAAAGAGGAATTGGTTGCATAACTACGTAATAATATTGGAAATTGAAACTGAGGAAATCAAGTAAATTGCAACGAGATATACACTGTGTCCAAGATAAGGATTTCTATCATGGGATTCATTTTTATTTTTTCATACGTTAATTAAAGAGATATATGAAAACAGAACACTTTCTCATTTCGATATTTGAAGCTCTACAAAATAGCGTTGAGACATTTTCCGTACGACGTTTCTTTTCGGAGAAACCATCATCAACTATAACCGGTGATATACATCCTTATCTTGAACTCACTGTATATCATTGAATCGCGTTTTCAATACTGCCGAAGTATATCCATATGTGTCTATTTTGTCATATAAAAATGTTGTTGCATGCATTCTTCTCATTTTTATAACTACTGTTGTTCTGCGAAAAGTGCCATATCGCTATAAATTGAAATGGAAGTTGATACCCTATTTCTGTTTTTCACCTGCGGCTTTGATTGATTTGACAGAAAATATAACCTCTAAAATCGTATCTGGCAATCAGGCGCTATTAAGGAAATTGAAGAAAAAATGAAGAACAGGGTATATGTGTTATTCTTTTATGCACTCAAGCATTGTAATTTGGCAAATAGTGTCATAAACTGTAGGCGGGGGGTTGCCTGAGTTGTGTTCTTTTTGTCAATAGAGAATGAACCTTGTCAATTAATGAATAGTCGGGAATTTAGCAAAAAAAGTAAAATCATTTCCAAAACAACAAACATACACATACATTCAGAATCAGAAATATGAATAACAATTCAAAACATATCTTAAATACTTGTATATGTTATCTTCGGAGACCTGGAGAAAGGGCATCAGTGTCACAGCTTTGCGACGACCGATGAAAACGTATTATCATTCTAAGGACAAATTCGCGACGCGTCCTTGTCGTCCTATGCGCCTGATTTTCGGGCTAAAGCCCGACAAGCCATTTTAGCCAAGATGATTGAACATCAAGAAGAAACTTTCCGTGATGGTATTCAAGAGGAAAATAGAACTAGAACTTGAACTGGAACTGGAACTCGAACTGTCGAGCCCGCTTCTTTACGTCTTTTGAGTACAGTTGTCTATATTTTAGGAAACGTGACAGTAATGAAATCAGGTCAATAGTCCAGGTTCGTTGAAGTCAATGTCACGCATGTGTTCTTGTTCAATTACTATGAAAAAAGTTCGTTCATGATTCGAAAATTTTGGAATTAATGAACAAAGACGTGAGCGTTCAATGACTTCGAACCCTTTATGAATTTGAATGGAATTCAAGAAAATAACCCTATTTGTGATAATAGTAGAAAAGGACAGAAGTTCAGCTGTGTCCGAACTCTTATCTACTAATACCATCCAGTGACTCTCCCTCATATTAACGCTCCTTGCGACTTGTAAACGGCAAAATTCGAAATATCTGGTACTGATATGCTTCGACAGGAAGATCAAATTACTAAGGTAGACGGACATACTGACCTTCATCAGAAATCCACGGAGGTTCGAAAAGGAGAAATAGGAGAAGGAGTAGAAGATATTATGTGCACATGACGTGTGCAGCAGGGGTCGGCAAAAAAGGCTCACTGGCGCCTACTTGCTAGGCGACCGCCTCCACTTTCTCTACTACTACTACTACTACTACTACTACTACTACTACTACTACTACTACTACTACTACTAGTATGTACTTATACCTATGAAAAATCAATTGACAAAATTATAATTTCTCATCACTTGTAGTATACCGAAGTTAATATATAATGAAAGAATATAATATGTTATTCATGTACCTGTATGCAAATCAAAAAAACAAATAAATTCTGAAATTATTAATAAACACAATCTGGTGTGAAATTTTCTTACCGAGTACCACACGAAGTCAAATTATTTTTCGGAAGACGAGGGATAATTTTCGAAATATTCATGAGCGAGTGAAAATCATATTTTTGTCAACAATTGATAATTGAGAGTAAGTAGCATGATAGTGCAGTTTTGTCGAAGTTACAATTTTGAAGATATTTTAAAAATATCAAAATCCTGAAGTTGCAATTGAACGTTCAAATTCAAAACACATGTGAAAAATTGAAATAGAAACAATTTTTCTCAACACCTTCATAGCACTCAATTGCAATTAACCTACTGCTACAAAGTGTTCTTCATATTGTCCGCCATATCGGTTTGTAATGTATAACTGTACCATTTCCAGAAGAATCCGTTCACCAATGCAGAGGTTACAGGGGTGGCATGATACCCTGTGTCACCCAGTATATGGCGTAAATTCAACTAGTATGTACAATCCCATTCTAGCTTAGATGCTTATAACTATGGTATAACATTTGAAAACCCGCGAGATATCACTGGGTTTGAAGAATTTTCCTATCAGAGAGCCTAAGAGAAAAATTCACTAGCTTGTCAGTGACAATTTGTATTGAAAAAAGTTTGGAGAAGAGAAATAAAGGTATATAGAGAAAATATCAAATTTTCACTTATCTTTGGACGTGTCGGGACCGAATCTGCTCCCGTCAACATAAAAAATGGTTATTTTAATAGCTAAGTCGTATCTGTCTTGATACTTCTCAGTTCTCAGTGACAATTGGTGACGTTGGCAATCAAATGAGTTACAGAATGTTTTCATTAATTAATCTTGAATTTACCATTTTCATGTTCAGATTTTAGTAGTGAATACCATGTTCTGTCTATATCAACTGAACAAGAAGCAATGCTATTGTCTCCGTTCAGAAGAATGCAAGTAGATTCCTTGATTTTTCTCTTCTGGTTGTTATCTTCCATGCTATTGAAATAACCATTTTTTATGTTGAAAACGGGAACAGATTCTGTCCTGAAACGTCCAAAGATAAGTGAAAATTTGATATTTTTTCTATATACATTTATTTCTCTTCTCCATACCTTTTCCAAAACAAATTGTCACTGACAAGCTAGTGAATTTTTCTTTTAGGCTCTCTGATAGGAAAATTCTTTAAACGCAGTGACATTTTGGGGCAAATCATCTGATTTGTCCTTACTACACGTATATTGAAATAATATTCATATTTTCATTTCATAGAAACGAGAATAGAAAATCCCAAAAAATTTGGAATAATCAATGTACCACCTCTTCGATTAACCTACAGACAGTAATCAATCTATCAGGACATTCGGACACAATCGATTGAGAAGTGAATACATCTCAGTTCTAGCATTCAAGTTGAAGGAAGGCCCACAGACACATACAAGTTTAGTAGAAAACGAATTTGTCCTCTGACATCTTGCCACTCACCTAGCCTCGTCCCAATTCACCGTCGGATCGTCCATCTTGTTCACCAACACCACCAAATACTTCACCCCCGCCGTCTTCGCCAACATGGCGTGCTCGCGCGTTTGCCCGCCCCTATCGAACCCAGTCTCGAACTCCCCTTTCCTGGCCGAGATGACCAGCACGGCGAGATCAGCTTGCGCGGCGCCCCCTATCATGTTCGGCACGAAGCTCTTGTGGCCGGGCGCGTCCAAGATGGTGAAGTGCTTCTTGTCCGTCTCGAAGAAGGCGCGGCCCACTTCGACCGTCTTACCCTTGTCCCTTTCTGGAACGAAAGACACGCTTACATCAACATACACGCCCTAACGAGCAGAATGTTAATATCACTACGTCAGATTAAATTGAAACATAGACCCGCAGTTCAATCATAAATAGTCAAAAAGTATTCTCCAACAATCCTAAACGTCAAACACGGTTGAATGAATGAAATAGCAAATGGTAAGGATATTCTCAGACTGAATAACAATAGATTGACGACGCGCCGCGATTCATTAGTAAATCATCAAAAAGTACACATCAACAATCCTAAACGTCAAACACAGATGAATGGATGAAATCACGAACTGTGGGGATAACCTCAGACTAAATAACATTATCGAAGCCCTGAGGGGGCAGAAGAACGATCTAGCCTTCATAGCCATCTAGTGGCTTAAGTGCAAAGGTGTATCGGTAGAGTCAACAATCATACCTTGCGAGTACGTCGTGCATATAGACCCCTACGTCTATATGCTTACAGAAAAGACACCATGTCAGAATTCTGTAGACTATCGCATACCTGTAATTCTCAAAGTGGTTTGATGTTCCACTAACAGATGGTGATAAACCTAGAATGTCAAGACTAGGTACTCGCAAGGTATGATTGTTGAATCTACCTATACACCTTTGCACTTAAGCCACTAGATGGCTATGAAGGCTAGATCGTCCTTCTGCCCCCCCCCCCCCAGGGCTTCGATTTTGCATATTATATCGAGGTACCCTTCGTGAATCGATTGTCAGCTGGCCAGTGCAACTGATGAGACTAATGGCAAGTCCGAAACAGTCTGTCTTGCATCAGTTGACAATCGATTCACGAAATTTCCCTAGAATCTCTTAGTCTTGACATTCTAGGTTTATCATAAATAACATTAGATTGACACCGCGATTCATTCAAAAATAACATTAGATTGACACCGCGATTCATTCATAAATCATCAAAAATCAAACGCCATCAATGTTGAAGGCCAGACATGGATGAATGAATGAAATCACGAATGGTGGGATAACCTCATAAAATAACAATAGACACCGTGGTGCATTCATAAATCATCAGAAAGTATACCGTCAACAATCCTAAATGTCAAACATGGATAAATGAATGGAATCGCGAATGTTGGGGATAATTATGCGGATTCATTGCCAGAGAATTTATATTCTTTATGGATATATTTTATCGGCGAGATCCGCTTGAGCACAAAGCTCTTGTGGCAGGGCGCGTCCAAGATGGTGAAGTACTTATTTTCCGTCTCGAAGAAAGCGAGGCCCACTTCGACCGTCTTACCCTTGTCCCTTGCTGGAACGAAAATCTCGATCAGATCATTCAAATGCACGTCCTAACGCGTAAAATTTCGATATCACTTCATAAACACTAGATACTTTCTCCAGAAAACGCCATCATTAGCCTTCCAATCTGCCAAGAACACTCTCTTCAGTTCGAGTAGAAGCTATGCCCCTGTTTCCTCCTCAGACTAAGGCTATATTCCGAATTCAACTGACAGTACTGACTCTGCAGCTCTCTTTCCAAAATCAAAAAATTTCGCTGAAAGTGACAGATACTTGTGAGCAGACATACTATTTATTCCAAATATTCCGACTCAACATTCTTCTGCTGAAATTGCTGAATATCAAAAGGCTTCAGTAAACGGTCATTATTTTAGAGGGGGAATGAATGTCATATTTATTTCCGTTGTTTTATCAATGATAAATTAATATCATTTTTAATATCAGATAATCAGACCTATTCTGTTGCCGTATTAACAATACTGCTAATCGTCTAATACAGCAATATGACCAAGTTCTGTCGTATTCTGTTTCATACCTCATAGCAAGCATGGGTGACGTTTTTGTTTCTAGCAATGTTGTTACCATGAATCGAATTTTACAACTGGCAACATCGTATAATAAAATGATAAGAATATTCACTGATTATTTGGCCAATTTTCTGAAAGGAAGAAGCCAACAAAGAAGATAACCTGTTTATCTGTTTTTGTTGTACGTTTTTCATTATTCGTAAAGATAATATCCAAAATAATCTCAAATGTCAACAAGTCGACAAACTAACAAGACTCAGATGGAGCTACTAATCAACTTCTTGGAAAAAAACCGAATAATGGTAACTGATCGAACTTCCTAATGGAGTTCAAAACGGTGCAAGAAACTAGCTAGAAAATTTTGTTTATTTCTTCGCAGTAGGCACGCCAACTGTCTCTTTGTGATCGCCGAATGGCTTTTTTGTACGCTTTCTGGGCAGACTTATATTCTTCCCAGTGTTTCAGTACGTTGATGCATTTCGCTTTGTTTAGAAGCTTTCTTGTGACCCCACGGTGGTTTTCTATTTTTGAATTCCACCATGGCGTTCTTTCTTTGGTAGCCCTGTCTTCAAGTGGGCAGCAGTTTTTGTAGGAGGTGATGGCATTGTTGCGATACGACACCACTGTATCTATTTCAGCCTCACTACCGTACTTCGATGGCAAACCCACAAGCCTTCCATTGAGTTCCTCCCGAAAGAGGTCTCACTTGGTGGCACGAGGGTTTCTGTATGTTTCCTTTTATGGAGCGCTTATTCCCCCCAGCGTAAACAGAATCTGTCGATGATCTGATAAAATTAATTTAACCACGTTTTGCATAAATACATTTGTAGCAAGTCAGGGGCTTAATATCCTCTTGTCTCTACCTTTTTTCAATCTATCTATCGGCCTTTCTTGGCCAACTTCTCTTTTCCTCCTCCCCTCCAAGCACAACCTCACCATCAAGTGGTGTGGAGAGGACAGACCGCGGCCGCTCGACGGAGAAAGCATTTTAGGAACATCTTTGCTATCTCCGGGCCAGATGGGACAATTCGTGGATATCTGTGGCAGGGATGGGGCGATTTGCTGATATCTGTCTAGGTGGTCGAGGACTGGTCAACGAGGCTCTGGCAACCTAATCCAAGCTGTGGGAACCAGTGGTGATGGATGAATGGCGATGGTGTCGCTAACGGGGCCTCTGGGAAACAGTGCGACATCTCAGAGTAAGTAGCCTTTGTCCTGTGCAGAGGGCACCACAGGGCTGGACCAACCCCTTCCCCCGTCACTCGTAGGAGAAGGAAAACTTTTGGCCTTCTTCGTAGACGAGAACAGGGATCGGAAGAGTAATCTTCAGGAACCTGAACGAAAGGGGTCTTTCATATTGAAGTGGCCCTCAATAAGCACCATGAGTCGTATATGGTGAAATTGATAACGGCATGTAGGTAAGATACAATGGGCCACTAGGCCTAAGTGTCGTCGGAGACTTCGATCAGACGGGCCTACAAACGGGGTGGAGTGTTTAGTGGGTATACCCTGGAGTCAGGGGACTCCCACACTATCATATGGGGGATTGGACCCATATGGTGTCCATAAAGGATTCCGACCACCTCAATAAAGAAAAAACAAAAAAAAAAGCAAGTCAGAAGTGTGGTACAGATAATTGGGCGTACCGATTATTCAAAACAATAAACAAAATAAGTGTAAATCAGTAGATCCAACATGAAATATGAATAAAAGTTAGTTAGTAGGAATAATAATCATTATAAATAAAAGTTAAGGAATCCCAGTGGATCAATAAAATACAGGAAATTAAAATGACATAACACTACACTCTATACATATACACAATATAGAGTACAGACGAACTACCAGTAAAGGTTCAGGTAGCTAAATGAATGGAGTCTCCAAATATTCCTGAGTTGAGTAAAAGGATTTTTCAATGAGAAGCTTCTTGATTGTGTTTTTATACCTATAGCTATTCAAGTTTTTTATGTGTGATGGAAGATGGTTATATATATTAACGTCCAAAGTGTTGCATGTAGATAGAGATTCATCTTGTGACACCTTCCATGAATGAACCTGTGTCAACATATCTCGGGTGCATAGAATAAGATCTATAACGGATTGCCGCCGTGGCGTGAAGAAAGTAGGTACTGAGCCCTCATTTATGATTCCCATGTTGCTGGTGCTTAGGAATTTGAGTAGAGCAATCCCCCTGGCGTTCGTGTCGCTAAAGTTCTCGGTAGTTATTCAGATTATTAATGTTCCTATGGTCGAATTGAATTGTCTCAAAATACAAGGTACTGGAGATGAATTGAAGAAAATACTAGTCCCCATTTGCCATGGTCGAGTGATATTCAGGAAGATTATTTCATGAACATTATAAAAATACAATTCATTTGAAGTTAGTGCTTCTGAACTTTCCTTTCTTGTTTGAGGAAAATATTGCGGGCTTTGCTTTTTCACATTATGCGCATCCCTGGCACCTTTGAATTCGATACATCCAAATGGATTTATCTTACATTTATGTTCATTGAAGTAATTTCCCTGTATAGTTTTCCATATCAATTTCAACTATGTATTCCTAATATTCATCACCATTCTCCTCACCCAATCTTTCAGGATTTGGGCAATCAATCACAAGAGATGGGGTAGTCGCACAAAATTCATAGTTTTTCTGCTGGCAAAAAACATGAATTGTTTCAGACAGACTCTTTACTTTTCTTGGTATTTTCTGATAATGATTCGCTAACATAATTACGGATTCCCGTAGTGGAAGTTGACCCAAAACGAGACATTTCAATTTTTGAGTGACTGATAGGTATGTCAAAGCTTGACAACCATAGCACTCTTATGCTGGCAAACAGAATAGCCGCTCATATTGTTTGTTTACCTAAATAGCCGGTGATATCACATATCATGTGACTTCAATCAAGAAATTTCATAGGTCCAGCCAGGTGTGAATGAAATAATCTTGGAATATTACCTGCGATATTTCTGTCGATTTCTTGTTCCGTCAAGACCAATGATATTGCTGTACGACAATATGATAGCTTCCAGAAATCAACTTTGGCTACTGAGTAGAACACAAAAAAATTATGGAAGTCACTCACCTTCCTGGTTGGTATCCAAGGCCCAGCTCAGATACCAGCTCTCTCTGCTCTTCTCTCGCGCCTCGCGCTCGTACTTCTCCAGCGTCCGCTTGTCCACCATGCCGGTGAGCGCCATTATCTGCCCGCCGATGGTGCTCTTCCCAGCGTCCACGTGACCGATGAACACCACATTGACGTGCTCCTTCTTTTCCTCCACGACTTTCTCTGTCAGCGGGACTTTCTTTTTGATTTTGATGGGGGCCTCCTGTTGAATAATAATAGTATATAACATACCGAGGTGGGTAGTGTTGCTATACACACACAATAATTTAGGAAAACTAGATAGAAACAGCGAATTTCATGAATACCCTACAAGAAGACGTGCCGATTTTCGTCTGCATCAAATTAAAAGAATGCAGCATAGAAAATCTCCTCTTTATGCTGGAGGCTATTTCTTCAACATGCTACCTCCAAACCTGAAATCATTGCAGGGTTCCAACATTTTCAAAGCGCACCTAAAGAAATACCTATTACACCATGCTTTTTACTGTCTTGACGAATATGTCAAATTAAATAATTATTACTGTCATCTTTTTTATACTGCATAATTCTCATGTACATATCTTGTTAGTCCTTGTCCAAAACGTGTTTTTACTTTTTTACTCTTCTACTTTTTTTTAAATATTATATCACCATTTTTATTGCCTATATTGCATATCTGTACTTACAACTAGCATAAGGACCTTACATTACTGTCGAGAGAGTTAGTTCACTGAGGCGGCCGACGAAGAAACGAAAACGCAGAAGAACGAAGGAATAAATGAAGAAACGATGACGCGATAGAACGATCGAATAAATGAATAAACAAAGAAAATAACCAAATCTTTGATGAGGTGATGTTTCACAGATCTCCTAAAATGAATTGGAGATACAATATTTCTGAAATCTGCTGGAAGATGGTTACATAATTTGAGAGCATTATAAATCAATGACTTTTTAGTTAAGCTCGTCGATGGAATGGGGAGTCTTAAAGTGTTGTTTTGGCTAGTAGAACTTACAACCGCATTATATGACGATTTATTGTTGTGAACTAAACATACTGTTTCGAGAATGAAGAGGCACGGAAGTGTTAGGATTTTGTGCTCTGAGAACAGAGGTTTGCATGATACTCTAGGTGCCACTTTGTAGAGGTATCGAATAGCCCGCTTCTGGAGGATTTTTTTTTATGTTCTGGTTCCCACGGAAAGGGATATCCTGTAATGTTCAGAGAACATCGTGAGAACCAAGGGAAATAAAGTAGGAATTGGTGTTCTTTTCGAATTTCTGGAGTTTATATTCGAGGAACACCTCCCTTGGCAATGTATTCCACAGCCTCGCTGTTCGTTGGGTGAACGAGTCTTTGGAAAGAGATGTTCTGCAGGTCTCCAAAGTGACCACAAAGTAGTGTGAAGCCTCAACTCGACGGGTTAATCTCGCGGGGACTGCCAAGGGAGGAACAATTGTTGATATTTCATAAGAGCATCGTCCATGAAAATATCTATAAAATAGAGGCAGATCGCCAACTTTCCTACGGTATTCCAAAGAAGTAAGTGAGTTTGTGAGCGATGCATCACCCATGAGACGAATTGCCCTTTTTTGGACAGAATCCAACAGTTTCAGGGTATGTTTGGGTGCTGCACTCCAAATATGGGAACAGTATTCCAGGACACGTCGGATCTGTGCCTTATAGATCATAAGCAGCTAACTGGAAGTGAAATAGCTCCTGCCCCGAAACAAAAAAACAAGTTTTTGGGATGCACTTTTAGCAATTGATCTATTTGTAATTCTGTTCACTGCAAAAGCCCCAGAAAGGTATTCCATATCTTATGTGTGACTCAAACATAGCATGGTATACTAATTTGGACACTATCCACAATGCATAACACACAGATGCCAATTTTGTAATCAAAAGTTTCACGTGATTATCAAAGTTGAGTTGGTCATCCAGATGAATACCAAGAAATTTAATTTCGTTCTTCTGTTCAATGAAAACTTTATTTCCTAACGGGATGTCTGTTAGATGACATTTTATCGACAGGAGGCTAGTTTTACCTATATTGAACGACAGCAAATTTGAGTCACACCACCTTTTCACAGTGGAAATATCGTTGAAAATTTAATTTTCGTTTGAATATTCTTTCCCCAACGGTATCATTCCACAGGATAGTTGTGTCGTCGGCAGAAATAGTGAATTTTCTATCGATCCTGAGATAAGGCAAATCATTAAAATACAAGAAGAAAATGGTAGGCTCCAAAACAGAGCCCTGTGGCACACCGTGACAAACTGAACCAGTTCAAGCCCACCAAGCCCACCATATCTATGCTCGGTATTTCCATCAGCAACACTCTTTCATGGGATAATCATGTCAGATCCATCGCAAAAGCTGCTTCACAAAAACTCGGATTCTTGTTCTGTGCGGAAAGCGCAGATACGGCCTGTTCTAGAATACTGTTCCCACATATGGGGTTCAGCACCAAAACATATGCTGATGCTCTTAGATTCCATCCAGAGAAGAGGCATTCGCCTGGTGGGTGACGCCACACTCACTGACTCTTTGACATCATTGGAACACGAGAAATTTTCTTCAGAAATCTCTGCTATCATCCCTTCACTAGCAAGACCAGTCAGACGAACTAGACAAGCCCAATCAGCACATCCTTTCATTGTTAACCTCGAAAGATGTCGAACAGCACTTTATCAAAACTCCTTCATCCATAGAACGGCTAGGCTCTAGTATTCATTGCCTGAGGAAGTATTCCCAACAACATATAATCTCCAGAAGTTCAAAAAAAATTCCAATACCTACCTCCTGTCCCTACCCTCCCTAGGAACGCACGATGTTCTATGAACATTATAGGGATTTCCTTTCGTGCGCTCCAAGCGATAAAAAAAGTCTCAGACGTCGTATCTGTTCTCACGATTTGTGTTCGCTGGCTAATGTAAGATTCAATCCAGCTAAGGCTCTGGTTTCTGATGCCATAGTGCTGCAATTTGCACAAAAAACTGCTGCACAAACTTCCTTCAGATTTAAATTTCTGTAAAGCTCTCTCAGAAACGAGAAAACAGCATCGTCTGTACTTTTTTTTTGGTTGAAAGCCAAACTACTGAATAAACTGGATTGCTATGGTATTAGAGGCGTTGGATACAAACTCATTGAGTCATATCTGTCAAATCGGGTACAGGTGGTATCTGTTTCAGATGGAAAAGAACTATATTATTCAAGGAAACTTGATATTGAACAAGGTGTTCCTCAAGGTTCAATACTTGGGCCGATCCTTTTCTTGCTATACATTAATGATTTACCAAAAGCCTTACATCCTGGTAGTGTGTACCAGTTTGCAGATGACACTTCTGTTATCATAGTGGGAAACAGTATGCCTGAACTCTCAACAAAATCTTCTAATGTCACAGACAGTATGAACCTGTGGTGTGAAAAGAATAATCTTAAGCTCAATGCGGCAAAAACAGGTCTCATTGTTTTTAGCAAAATGAATAACAATGATAAATCATTGTATGTAAGACTGCAAAATAAATCAGTTCCAATATCAGACAACTTTAAATTCCTAGGTGTTACATTGGACGCCACTCTCAGCTGGGACGCACACACTAATTTATTGAATAACAAATTGAACTCAATTTGTGGAATTATACGCTACCTTACCATATCCTATGGTATAATATTCTGGGGCTCATCATCAAGTTCACAGAAAATATTTATATCACAGAAGAAAATTATTAGATGTATTCTGAAACTAGATCGCAATGCCTCCTGTAAACCTCATTTTGCTGAACTCAAGATCATGACAGTACCTTCTTTGTACTTCTTGGGTCTTGTATGCTTTGTAAAAAAATATCCGCATTTGTTTCCCAGAAATAGCGACCAATATTCTGCAAATATGCACTTGACCACTAGATACTCAAATGAATTAACAATACCCAACCACAAAACAACATATTACCAAAAATCTTCTTATTATAATGCAATAAAAGCCTACAATTCCTTACCACAAAATTTGAAAAATATCGCGGATGCAAAGAGGTTTAGAACTTCAGTCATTGAATTTCTCAAAAATAAATGTTTTTACTCATTCAACTGTTGGTTGTAATAATACTATTTATTTGTAATGTAAAGTACCTAGTTTATCTGTGTGATTCATGTGAAGATTTTAACATTTACTAATGATATATTTTGAATTCAATTCAGGAAATGTGGAGGTAGAATTCTATAACATGTAGGAAATTATGTATTTTTAAAATGTAATTTTAAACAGATGATGTAAATGCTATGTAGGAAATTATGTATTTTTAAATTGTATTTAATGTAATTTTAAACAGATTATGTAAATGCTACAGGTAGCTAAGATTGTTCTGTAACCCCTGACGTTTGCTGTGTCCATGTTGATCGTTTCGCAATAAAAAGATTATTATTATTATTATTATTAAATTGCAGAGAATTGAGAATTTCATGATTACCTCGGAGGAGGGCTCGTCGTCGTCATCGTCGTCCCCCTCAGGCGTCGTGGCGACGGGCGGGACGGAAGCGGAGGCGGCCGACGCGCTGCTGCTGTCGTCGTCGGCGGCGTCCTCCCACGTGCGCCCGCCTCCCCCGCCTCCTCCGGGGGAGGCCGCGTCCCCGTCCGCGGGCGGCACGGGCGGCGGTTCTTTCGGCTCGACGCGCTCGGCGGAGGATTCGGCGGCGGTGCCTGGACGGGATGGAAAACACAGAGTAGAGTCATGCTCGAAGAAAAAAGGACCCCGCACATTTACAGGCCTACAGGCCTATTCAGTAAAAAGTCGTTATTTTATGAGTCGTTAGATAACAACTATCGTTATCCTAATATGTAATGACAATTCGAACGACTTGATGAAAAAATGCATTCTGTAAGATATGTCAATTCGAAAATTAACAAGAAGTGTATATATTTTCAGAATAGATAGTATGACATAATGTGACATTATTTGTCATGAATTATTGACAAATGGTTATGTATATCATATAGATCAGAGATCTTCTACCGAGTCTTCTACTATAATACTTGGAGAAAATAATGTTTCTAAGGGAAGTAGGATTGCGTACAGTTCCCGGAGGCGATTTTACTAAATATACTGTACGCTAGCACAAACCACGCCCACCGTAAAATCTCATCTTCGAAGTACTTAGGCAAAACTCAGAAACTATTTATCCTTAACGACCTAACCTATCCCTGATTGCAATATTTTTGAGGAAGGAAAACCGAATGGAGTGTAGAAACACATTGATTAATAATATATTTCAAAAGTTGAGTTCTTCAACAAAATTGAATAAAATGAGACTGTTTATCCTGAACGCACTAGCCTATTTGACTTCAAATATATTATGAAAAAGAAAAACCAGAATGAAGTAAAAAAACATTGGTGAAAAAAAGTTCACAGCGATTCGAAGCATGGACCTTCAGACTGAAAGTCGACAGCGCTAACCAGTAGACCATTTGGGTGCATGAATTCAGTGCGTACAAGAGATTGACAACGAGAGAGCTTCAGTCAAATTCGTGTCAAAATCATAAAAAGTGTATTCTTGCGTTGGAGCACAGTATATTTACTGCGATGTGCTGACTCCGAGTATATCAGTAATGTTTGGAGATATGACGTATTATGGTGGGCGTGGTTTGTGCTAGCGTGCAGTATATTTAGTAAAATCGCTTCCCGGAGTGCTAAAATATTCAAACAGGGATTCGTTATTATTTGAATATACGTGGAGGAACTGCAGGAAAATAAATACTTTCCATCAAATCAATATGAACCCACAAACCCCAATATCCTGAAAGGAACATGGAGTGGTTTGGTTCTATAATTGAATAGTTCCAGAAGCCCAATGAGGGATGAATAGCAAAGAAGAACAGTACCTACGTATTATTTTTATATGGGTTTTGAGAAAAAAATAAATAAGAGATAAATTAGAGTATTGAATAATTCAGTTTTCAATCTACCTATTTTGTAACTTGAAATCATACCCATTTTTAACATATACAATATTTTGAAGATTTGGTACAGTGAAGTAATTGTCTATGTCGGATATTTCATAGATACATCTGCTTGGGACATGGCTTATGATTTGTCTCTTTCTATAGATTTTTGGTAACAACAGATAGGTACATCAGTACGTAGGTACTTTCCGATTATATTTTCAACAAATGATGGTATATACCAGTATTCCTACTGGCCTCCTTGGGATGCTGCAACATATTATGAGAGAATACCCCCCCAAACTATAGCTCTCTGGGTAATCGACAATCCTCCCGAACGTTTCCTTCATAGGCCTACTAGCGTCCCTCAAGCGTCTATTCAAATTTTTATTCACTTGGCTGATTCGAAATAAACGGTGAATATCTACAAATATTTATATTTAACTCCTCTGAAACCCTTCTGAAAATTTAGAAAGACTGACTGGATCCGATGGATGAGAGGATTTTCTGCGTTTATTGTTTTTGTGTTCATGTTATCCTACCGATACTCTGAATAGCTATCGTTTATAAACGATATTCTGATGACAGCTTTCATAACCGACTGTCAAATCGGTATAAATGGAGAGACGTGGAGCGATTATTACTACTAAAGATTTATCACGATTTAGAGCACATAATTCAAATCGATGCAAAATATTCCAAACAGCCAAAATCAAATGATTGACACCCTGTAGCTCGAAAACTGGTCATAGGATCGATCTGTAAATTGGACTGTGTAATAAGGACGCTAATATCTGAAACATATCAAATTTTCAGAACAATTTGCCGAAAGCCAAATATAGCAAATACCGTTCTATACTCTCACATCCTTAGTAAAATGAACTATCTCATAAATAAACTACTTACCAGATGAAGTGGGACAGCCAAAAAATTGACTGATTTTGATAACCTATAACTCGTACATTTCTTGGCCGATGTTGGATTTTCAACCAAAGGTAGAAAGCGTCATCCTTGTGCTATGCGTCATCGGCGTCGGCTTTGTATTTATGCGATTCGTTCTCTTTGTACAGAGTGTGAATTAAGAGCCGGAAAAATTTCAAATTTTTGACCAATAATTTGGGAAATGTGAGGGACGCTAGAATTTTTTTTTAGATGTTGGGTGAATGGTTGTTCCGATACCTCGGGACGTCTTTGAAATTTTTTTGATAAATTGCGTTGCTATGGAGAAATCGCCATTTTATGAAATTCCATTTTTATTTTAAAATGTGGCCTTTCTTAGTTGAACAATAACAGCTAACATCTGAACTGCAATAAGGGATATTCCTACTGGAGATAATTGACACCAGTGGCGCGCAAAAAGGGGTTTATGATATTTAGAAACGAAAAATTCGTTTTTATTGAAAAAATTCAACTGTTTTATTGATCGTTACAGTTGAAGAGGTGTCATACCCTCAATTAGCATGATGTTGACAAATTCAGAGGCGTGCAGAAGATGATTCTGTAATCGTAGACAGATTGAAATTCCAGTTTCATAATTAAATAAGAGAAGCCATTGATACAAGGCGATTAAAAAATGTTACATTGTATGGAAACATTTTAAATAATTTTGCTAAGTGTTGTTCCCTGTTCGCCCAGTAAAAAAATTCTTGATCGTGTCATATGATCGGGTCCGTGTAGTAAAAATGAAGAAAATAATTATCTAAAAAAAATGCTTCATCATAAATAGGACGAGAAAATTTATAAAGAAAAAATACTTGAAAATTTTTTGGGGGGGCAAAAATCGAAGATTTTTTGATTTTTTTTTCGACAAAATTATCAAATTGTACGGTTCGAGAAACACCAGAGTTACGTTCCTGAATTTCCATTCATAAATGATGATACAAGAAAATTTTCACTGGGCGAACAGAGAACAACACTTGATGAAATCATTAAAAATGATGGATCCTCTTTAATACGTCAATGATTACACAATCATCCTTCGTACGCCTCTGAATTCGTCAACATCATGCTAATTAAATGTATGGCAACTTTTTTTACTGTAACGGTCAATAAATCTGTTGTTTTCATTTCAATAAAAACGTTTTTTTATTTTCTAAATATCATAAGCCCCTTTTCTGCACGCCTCTGAATTTGTCAACATCATGCTAATTGAGGGTATGACACCTCTCCAACTGTAACGATCAATAAAACTGTTGAATTTTTCCAATAAAAACGAATTTTTCGTTTCTAAATATCATAAACCCCTTTTTGCGCGCCACTGGTGTCAATTATCTCCAGTAGGAATATCCCTTATTGCAGTTCAGATGTTAGCTGTTATTGTTCAACTAAGAAAGGTCACATTTTAAAATAAAAATGGAATTTCATAAAATGGCGATTTCTCCATAGCAACGCAATTTATCAAAAAAATTTCAAAGACGTCCCGAGGTATCGGAACAACCATTCACCCAACATCTAAAAAAAAATCTAGCGTTCCTCACATTTCCCAAATTATTGGTAAAAAATTTGAAATTTTTCCGGCTCTTAATTCACACTCTGTACAAAGAGAACGAATCGCAAAAATAAAAAGCCGATGCCGATGACGCATAGCCCAAAGATGTTGCTTTCTTCCTTTGGTAGGAAATCCAACATCGGCCAAGAAATATTCGAGTTATAGCTTATCAAAATTAGTCAATTTTTTGGCTGTCCCACTTCTGGTAAGTAGTTTATTTGGGGTTCATGTTCCAAGAATAATTTTAACAAAATATCTGTACTATATAAAAAAGCATTAAAAGTACTGTACCGTCTTCCCTATCACCCCATCAAATCAACTTTATGAAGAGACAAATACATTTTATTTGGAAGAGCACTATCTGATAAATGTTCTCAGAATTTCTTTTGATATTATCAACAAACACCACAAATCTAACTTCATATTGGTAAGGAATTCTCAAATCCATGAACATCATACTAGACAATATGACTTGTTTCATCTTGATGCTGCTAATTCTACACTTAGAAGTGAGCGATAATTTTTGTCGGTTACTGGACCGAAAGATTATTAATTCTACACTTGGCCAAAAAAAGTTCACTCACGGAGCTATTCCAAAACTCAATAAATTACCTGATGATATCAAAAGTTGCACAAATATCACCCAATAGAGCAGTTCAGCTACCGTTGAGAGAGAAAAAAAATGTATTTCCCATCTGTCCTTGTCTTCAGTGTTCCAACATAAAATAATGAAAATATGATGTTGGCATCATTGGAAATGGGAAAAAATGGAGAAGAATAGCACATTAACCTCGATATAAAAGAAGGTTAGAACGGTCTTCTTCTCCATTTCTTCTCATTTCCAGTGTTGGCAACATAAGATTTTCATTATTTCATGTTGGAACACTGAAGACAAGGACAGATGGGAAGACATTTTTTTTCTCTCTCAACGGTAGCTAAACTGCTCTATTCATAATTGAAGTCAAGAAACATATCCTCTTGCAAAGAGAAGAAAACCAAACCTGAGTGAATAATTTCTTATTCAATAATATATTTCATCAATTCATCATGTCATAATGTTCTTTTCATGATTATTCATAAACAATCGCTGAATGTATTTCCAGAAAATAGAAAGACGTACCAGCTGAATTCAGATGTACACTCGTCTTCTGAGAATATGTCACGGTTGGACGGTGTTTACGCGCTATTGTTGCAGCGGTTATTGTGAAAGCTGACACCGCCCATCATGTCCTATGAAGACGAGTATACATATTTATCACTTTCGATGACCCCG